CCCCCCCGCGCTCCAGGGCGCATCCCCATGCAGGATTTTTCCCGGATGGGCTCGGCTGTACTAGTACGCGGCTGTGTGGCCGTAGTGAAAGGGGCGTGTGCCTCCGCGGGGGCAAGTAATCACATAGCTACAAACCGACAGCGAAACAAGTACATCACTTGGTGCCTCTGTATAACTTCGTCTGGTTGGAAGGCTGAACCCCAAAAGCTTTCCCGGGAAAAACATGCCTGAATTAACGGCCCTCCACGAGTGCAAGTATCAAGTGCCCCTGAAAGCGAATTCCACATGGTTCCTAACTTTTCAAGCGGATGCGTCAAGTTGTAACAGTTGGATCGAGTTGTACACGGATGGAGCTTAGCTCCGGGCTTTTGGTTCACTGAAGTCTCTGTAACACTTGCTTGCAAAGGTGGTGCCGCCTCAGTTGGTGTTGTCCATCTGGGTCGCTGTCTTTATGATCTTCTGTGCGAGTCCCTCACGTAGCTGCCACCCCCCCCTTGCTGCTCAGTGAGTTGCCGAGGTGGTTCGCTCGGCTCGGCTGGTCTGGTAGTCCCTGGTACTCGGTGTCGTAGTTGAGGCATCGGGTGGTATGCCCCACCTTTGGCTGCCGGTGCTTCCGTTGCCCCGCAGTGGGTCTGGTCGTAGGCGTCCATCGCTCGTCTTTGTGTCGCTGCGAGGTCGTGGATGACCCCTCTCCAACCCGTCGTGCCCGTAGTGACCGTAGTGCCTCCTCGGCCTCTGGGTCCTCCGGTCATGCACCTTGGGCAGCGGCGTATGGCCCCCTATCATCAGAGGCTGTTGTTCCTCGGTCTTTTTTGTTCTCTCCACCTTTCTTGGTGGATCCCCCTCCCTGGCGGGGTCCTCCATCGTAGGTGCACTTCTCGTTCTTGGTGTCCCTGCCAAAATCACGAACTCTCCCTCAACGGTTTCTCCCTCCCAGTCTTGTGCTCCGCTGGCGTCTGCTCGCCGTCGTCTTCGCGGGAGTGGGGGTCGGTCGGCAGGTCCGTCGCCGGCCGGCTCTTCGGAAGCGGTGTGGTACATCATTTGGGTCGCCGTCTTTGCCGGGGGTTCCTCTGCGAGGTAGCATGATGCCCCTCCCTACTGCTGGGCCACCCCCACAGAGTGAGGGGCCAGGTTCAGGAGAGGACTTGCGTGGCGAATCTCCGGGCGACTGGATCCAACAGCTACGGCGTGAGGCTCAAGCCTCCCTCCACTCAGAAGAACGTCCACTCTCCCGAGGATGCAGAGGCCACTCTGCCAACTCGAGGGCATCGAGGTATGGTTGGAAGCGTCGGGAGGCAGTCAAAACCAATCGTGAGCACCATCGTGACGACAGGCACCAGTCAGACACAATTAGCATCAACTAGAGACCAGCCATGTGGAGCAGAAGTCCTGAGCGACCGAGCTGTGTGTGTGTGTGTGTTGGTGTGTGTGTTGGTGTGTGTGTTGGTGTGTGTGTGTGTGTTGGTGTGTGTGTGTGTTGGTGTGTGTGTGTGTGTTGGTGTGTGTGTGTTGGTGTGTGTGTGTGTGTTTGTTTGTCTGTGTGCGAGTGTGTGTGTGTGTGTGTTCGCCAGCCGTACGTCTCCGCCAGTCTTTCGGAAACAGCTCAAACGGAACGTGACGGGCAAACAGTGCTTGCCGGTGGATCCGGTGAATGCCGGAGGACAATCACTTCGGCGAAGCGCATGAGGCCAATCACCCTAGCCGGCGGTGTTTGCACGGGACACTTCAACCTTACTTGTAGGCGGAACGGGACCACAAGCGATGCTGGAACTGCGCGCCATCATCTAGCAAGGTGTCAGCGATGCTGTCGCCGGCGTTCACAGTCCGCGAAGACCGACGTGTACAAAATATCAACCGGGCCTTGATCACAATTGCGAAATGCGGACGGGAAACAGGAATGTTGTCACCCTACTTGTACGAGCGACCTGCCACCGGTGGACGACGTCTCTGATGTCAGTCATAGAAGACGCCGAGTCCTGGCTGAACATTTCCACGATGAGCTCTGAGGGGGACAGTGAATGACAGTGATGTGCTGCAAAGCTGGATGGGGCCCTCGCTGCGGGGGGGAATGAAGATGGCCGCTCTACCCAGCTGCTTCCTTCCTCTGCCTGGGGGACTAAACGCTGCATGTGTACTTGTGAGCTCGCACCACGACGTGTACTGAGACCCTGTGGGAGACGGGGGAAAGGCATCATGATTCCATTTAAGGTTGTGATTACAGGTTGTGGTTTATTTGCTCACATTTGTATAGACGATGCAGGGTTTTGCCGTGGAAACCCGAACCACGCTAGTAGAGGAGCCTGTTGCCTTGTTTCTTTTAGGTGCATCACTTCCAGGCGGCGTTTTGTTTCTTTCCGGACGAAAGACTCCTCTATAGCTCCCGGCACCCTGGAACTGAGGGGGATCCGAGCTTTACACACGGTAGCCTACTAGGCAATCTAGGGAGTGCTGTGTCCTTGAACGTGCCCTCGTTCCATGGTAGTCATGTAAAGCCAATGGGGACCCCACTTGAAGTTTCCTACACTTTATGTACTGTTCCAGAGTCAACATTTTTTTTAGAGCGGACCGGTGTTAGCCAGCCTCTACACACATACCGCTGAGGGCATTGGGGGGACACCCTCCATTGACAGTTGAGGAAGTACACACATGCTTATACACATGTTAGCCTCTAGGCTTGACAATAGTGCGTCATTCTGTTGTGGTACGCCGTGAGTCCTGGAATTGTTGAACTGTCCCTCACATGTGCCGATGGAGGACCCTTTCAAGGAAATTGCATTCCATACCATGTCGTCTTGCATCAATAGGGAGACCCCTGACGGCCGGAGCCTCAGCACATGCTAGTGATGATTTTCTCCTCTCGTGCTGGCTTTGTGCAACCCATGCTGGGGATGGCCCTGCAGCATGTTCCTGCCTACACAGAGGTAGTCATGCCTCTTAAAATTTCAGAAAGTTGATCCGATCGCGGGGGATTGGTTTGTTATTAGGCTGGTGTTCATGTTTGTCAATGTGTTCGCTGGTGAAAGCGCGGTCAGGTTGACTTTTCAGTAATGTCGCCCGTGTACGCCTTGCATGCGGGGAGGATATCCGCCTTCTTATCCTTTGCTGTTTTCGTTGAATTCTTCCAAGAAGAATCCTTCCCTTAGGTGTACCAGGGACAAATAAGGCGTCCCAAAGCACGTACTGAACATTGAGTGTCGGGGGAAAGTGTGTTATCCAAATCTTGTCGCAACACCCAATTTGAATGCCCGATATTCAATCTACTTTTCACATACCCCCGAAAGCCCCATAACAGGTGGGGGGCTAATAGGCCGGGAGGTTTGACACGCCCCCTATGCCCTAGGGAAGAAGAAGGAGGGAGGGAGGGAGACAGAGAGAGAGAGCGAGAGACTTCCCTGTGTCCATAGCCCGGAGAGAGAAAGTGTGTGCGTGTGTGTGCTTGGCTCCGTTAGCATTCAGGCAGGCATGATCGGGTGGGGTCATGTGAGCGGATCAGGGCACAGTGCGGATGCCTCGTTGGGTGGAGTACAATGGGCACGGCTCAGGGAGGGGGCAGAGCAGGGCAGACGTGAGCAGGAGGCAGAAAGACGAGTTGTAGTGCGACACCCGCCGGCATCAGCTGGCACAGCTATTCAAGCCAAGAGTTAGAAAGGAGAGGAGACAGTGGCAGAGCTGCCGAACGACAGAGTGACTCGAAGGAAATGGTCGAAGATGCTGCCGATCTTCTCGATCCGTTCTCCTCCGCCGAAAATGCTGCCGACCTTGTGCTCGATCAGGTGAGCAGCTTTTTGCTGTCAGTGCCAGTGCCCGCCAGTTTGAAGAACCTGTGTCATGTCTGCTTTCGTGTCACGTTCTGCCTCTTGCGCATTCTTGGGCAGCATGTGCCACTTACCTGCAGGTCTTGCAAGAGGGTGGCAAACTCCTGTATGAGAGTTACATCGCCCGGAAATCCTTCGCGTTCGCGGCTGTAGCTGCCTGCGAGGCCAGGCTTGCTGTGTGTGGTACACCCATGCAGTGATTGGACGGACGGACAGCATCACAGACGGCATTGCGGAAAACACGTTCCAGTCAGCAGTGCGCAGGGTAGTCGCCATGTCAGAAGGTTCTCGTTGGTGAGATGAAGATGCAATTCGTCAGTCTAGCACCGAGATTCGGTCTTGCGCTGTCGCAGTGTGTGGACAACATTCCGACCACGATTATGTTCAGGCTATGATAGGGGCGAGGGCCAGCAGCTGCAGAGCTCCCGGATTCTTTGCGCAAGCACTCGTTGAGTGGCACTTCTTGCACAGCACTCGGTTTCACTGAGGGTGAGACACCTGGTCTCATGCCGACCAGCCACTGGCAGCAAAGCTGATATTCGCCGACATGCAGAGGCAGGAGGGTCTGACTCTGCCCTTTCCTGCTGATTCGTGCTTTTCTAGAGCATGTCTTGAAGGACGATGTCTGGAGTGCTCGAGGTGCAGCTTCAGACTCTGACAAGCACACCTCCACGATCAGCATTGCCAGGCGCTGTCGAAGCAGTGCCCCGTCCAGGGTCCGCACCAGCAAGCACCAACGGGAGGCCTGAGCACGAGCTGCCAGCAGAATACTCGCAGGAACAGAATCGTGTTTTTGGCATTTGTACCTGTCTGAAGGCTTGATTCGGCTGCGACGGTCACGCAGATGGCCATCAGCGGCCCCTGATGCAACCAAAGTCCTGTTACAGTCTCACATAAATTGAAAGACATGTGTCGCCAAGATAATCCAGCATCTCTCGCAGACAAGCACCGGCCTCAACATGCCACCATGCGTTCTACCCATGCTTCCAGATTTATGGACACTACAGAGAAGGCAAGCAATGTACCGAGAAGGTTTTCGGGTACAGTGCGAAGCTCGTTGTTGCCCGGAAAAGCCACCACATGACCCTTAAAGTCTGCATTCCGACCGGGCTGGAGTATCACCAAAAAATTCAGGTTCCTCAGGTTGTGACAATCCAGTACTGTAGTTAGAAGAACAGACGTAGCCGGGAGATAGGCAGCACCGCGCCCGGTTTGGAGATTGAAAGGCTTTGTATGTGCGCCGGGCATGGCAGGCTATAGTTGCTGGCAGGGTTAAAACCCGTGTCTCCTTACATTTTGTCGAATTTTCATGCCGACGACTAGCACGACGATGACGACCACTACCCACCCTGGCTAGTGCCAACTGACTGTTAGAGATGAAGTAGTTTTCTACCGTTGAGTGCCTTGAACCGTGGCTAGAGCTCAACTCAAGCTCTCTTTCTTTGGCGGCTGGATTCGATGGCACCGAATGCTGTCAATGCCGTTGCTGGCTATCTTCTCGTCTTGTTGACGGTTGTGGACAGCTGGCCCCCCGTTGGCTCCCCAATGGTTGGGCTCATCGAGAGCTGATCCGGCACCTCGGCCACAAGATTCGTCGCCACCGACTGGAGTTCCTCCTGATGGTGCTCCACCGGCGACGGCGATACCGCCCTTTTCTCCACCCACTTCGCACCGATGGTTTCGTCGCCATGGACGACGTCGGCTTCTTCTGCTTCGGGGACTATCGGCCGGTTGCTGGACGGGCATTCACGTTCCTCATCACCCTCACCTCTTTGGTGCTTCTGGTGTGGGTGATGCACAGCTGTGAACGCTGGTCTGCTGCTGCTGGCGAGAACACGAGAAGCCTGTTCGGCTCCCGAGGTCGATCTCCCTGCTGCGAGAGTGGTGATGGGGTACCAGACCATGTCTCTTCACGGGCCTCAGGGCACCCCCGCGCTGACGCCGGACTGGCCACAAGCCTTGCGACCTCATCCTCAAGCTGGAGTCGGGACGCCTGGCACTTCGTGCGGCCTCTTCCCGCCTGTAGGAAGCAGTAGCACCAGGCGGAGCCAAAAGGAGACTCACGACAATCAGAACGCCAAGAATTAAGATAGTGTGGAGGCCGAACTGAGCATTCCCGCTCAGAGATCTTTCCAGAGATCTCCACCACCAAATGTACCAACAGAAGTCTGCCGCATCGCGCAGCTCGTCTCTTCTTCTCCAACGGTGCAGATCCACGTCCTGGAGGACCTGGTGGAGGCAGAAGCGAACAAGCCATTGCAATGTCGCCTCGTATCAAAATGCAACTCCGTGCAAAAAAAATCTGCACATTCCGACCAAAGCCACCAGGCAGAATGATTTGTTTTCACAATTCGGGGGTTCCTGCTGCATTTCCTGAGAGGGACCGTCAAAAAATATATGCAGCAAAATATTGCGAAAACCGTGTGTCCAAACAAGATTAAACCAGTAAGCAAGTCCATGAGACGGTCGCTCGGTCTTCGGATCACGGCGGAGTGTGTGCAATGGCCTTCCGCAAGGATGAAGTTTACAAAGCTTCGGCAACGACCGTCGTCACCTTTGGATATTTCCGGTCTTTGGGTGAAGCCTTCCAAGGTTTTGGGAGTTACCTCCCATAGGACCAGAGACGAGCTGGAAAAGACTGACTGGGTTCATTTCTGCCGGTGCGCAGATTGCCCAAATCACGGCTTCCATTGCGGGTCTTTCGCAGCTTGCGATGCCGAAGCTCTGGTCAACCTCGGGGCCTACGCGCAGCTTTCTTGGTTGGCGCATTCTAAGGGCTGCATTCGACGGGGTTTTCGCACCTGCTGCTGTTCTACCCGGAAGTCATCGACGGCGCCCCGCCAGGAGTTCTGAAGACCTTGGATCCCGATTCTGAGTCCGAAGCTGAAGTCCCACCTGGCCCTTGTGAAGCTGTCTTGATAGGGCTTGAGTTGCAAGGTAAGATTCGGGCCTTAGCCCCTGAGGGTTGTATCGAGCGGCTTCTGAAGGGACAAATGCCCATGACTGCCGCTACCGAGTGCTTCAGTTGTTTGCACCGGTGTACATGACTGAGAAGCACCTCCTCGCCTTTCGAGCTGTCCCAATCTGTCCCACAAGGGACAGCTCGAGTTAGATGTGGTGTTAGGGCCTTCCGCCGTCACTTCTGCAGGAGTTGTCGTGATTCATCGGGGCCACATGCGTACTTCGGCCATCTCCAACACGGTCGCATTGCAGCTTCTACAGATTGCCTCCGGGGCTGGTCGATGCGCGCATGAGCTCGACGTTGAGGAATGCGGTAGGTATCTCGAGGACTTAAGGGACCTTGCTACAGGTGCCGAGGAGTTTCGGGACCCTGCCGAGGCCGGGACCCCACTTCAGTCACGGTCGTCGTTCGCTCAGGGGCTTCACGTCCAGGAGGTGGCTCAGATCCCAGCGGGGGCCCCCCCAAGGTTGCGTGGGTTGCAAGGGTGGTATCAGATTTTGCTTTATCTACCAGACTAGCAACAACAACCCCGTTTCCGGGGGGAGGGCATGGATTGTGAGTGGGGAAGGGGCTTCATGAGTCGGCCACTTCGAATATTGCATGTTCCGCAGCCATTTTGGTATAAGAGTCGGATTCAAGTTTTCTTGTCCCGCCCTCCCGAACCCTAGTTATCTCGAATTTCCTCTGCTTGCAGTCTGCGATCGGGAAACGGTCGGTCTTCTAGATCTCGAAAGGAACATTTCTGTAAGAAGTGCGCCCTGGGCCCTAGTGTTTGCTTCCAGCCGGCTGGGCTGGACCCCGGGGCGGCACTAAGAGTCGTGAATGACTCGAGGAGCACCTCCCTTTACCCCGCACGGTGGCACTGGGCGACAGTGCCGTATTATTTGCATTCATGCTCTTGCAGCTGGCAAATCTGCCAGGATGCATCGTTGTCGTCACATTCTCCTTGTACTGGAAGTATGGTGACTACTGCCGAGACCACTGGAAATCACTGGCGTGGGTGTATGCAGAGCAGTTGCTCGATCTCTTAGGGGGCTACCAACCACTTCGACGACGCTGGCGAGGACGACTTCAATACAGTTACTTCTCAGCGTCATGTTTTCTACTGTTGTGCAGCGGCTCGGCTCTCCGGTTGGCTACGGCTTTTGTACGGCCTTGCGGAAACTCATGTTGATGCTACTACCTGCTCGCTGATCCTCTTCTAATCTCGATTATCATCGCTGGCCACACAGGCCAAGTTTCATTTTATCTTCATTGCTAAGGCGTCTTATCGCTATCCAGTGCCAGTCTTTCCTGTAAGTTGCGTGTTCGCCCTCGGTGCTGGAGCAACGTGCTCCCTCTGCATCTGGCGCACGTTGGGTCGCCCCTGTGTGAGCCCTCTGTGCTTGGACCATGGCTCCCTCGGCACTGGCCGCACTGCTTCGCCCCCTTGCTTTGCGTATGGAAATTGCCAAATCATCTGATACAACCGGGGCTGACTCGCAAAAGACCACCAGCGACAGGGCACTCTTGATAGATGTCTTCGGCTAAGTTTCTTCAGGGCTTTGGGGTACAGCAAGATGTTCCCCTTGTTTACGGTAACCCTTACTTTGTAAGCTGCATCGTCGTAGAGAGACGAGCCTGGCGATTTCATCCCTTTCGGAAAGTAGATCAGAACCTCTTTTTCCACTCCTGCACTGCGTTCAGTCAGGGAACGTTGAGATGCTCCTCCGCCATGACATGCAACAGTCTTTTGACCCTCGGAGCTCGTAGAGAGACGTACCCTTTTCCGAAAAGTTCCCTCACTGTCCTCCCGGAGCGTAGAAAGACGCCCGGGGCACTCCTGCCCAGAACAGACTCAGTGGGAAGCTCAGAGCAGCGGAGGGGACAGGGTGGTTACTAACAGGTTACTGCTGATATGTTTCGGCCCTGCCAAGATCGCAAAGACCTGAGCTTCCCCGCTTTTTCTCCGACTCCACGGCATAGCGCGCAAGCGCAAGGAGGGAGGCTTGACCCGACCTCCTAGACGGCAAGTAAGTAAGCAAGCAAGCAAGCAAGAGCGAGAGAGGGAAGGACAGAGCGAGCGCCAGTCGCCTCTAAACACCGACTGCTCCTCCAACAGATGGACGTGCCCTTACGAGGGGCATGCTCCCTCAGGCCGGGTGAAAGAAAGTGCGAGCGAGGGAGCGATTGAAGATCGCGAGGACGACCCTTAAGCCCAACAGTCAAAGCGGATAGAGAGCAAGAGCGAGAGAGTAAGAGTGAGAGAGATTGATGCAGGAGTCGCTCTACTGATTAACGGAGTTTATGGAGTAAGCTGTAGCCTGACTGCCGCTGCATGCTCAAGGACCAGAGATCGTCCTGGAATCAGCGAAGAGGTGCGCGACCTGCTCCCCCATTCCCGAAACTGACTTAGATGCAATTGCTGCCAGGGGTAGGATGCATGTCTGACTGTGCCCGTGACAGAACATGTGAAGTGTTTCCTAGCTCAGGAATGATCAGGAATTTGCAGGTTATTCGGCAGCAAAGCCTAAACATGTTACGTGCTACATTGCTGTTGAAGTTTTTAAACTTCTGCTGTGAGAAACTGTCGGCAGAACAGGGAAACTGAAACACTCGATGCCTGCGAATTGCACGGGACTTGCCAACACCAAAACACCGATACAGTAATCAAAATTGGGTTTTGCACCTATTTCTGAAGTCAAACTATGTTTCAAGATCCTCTCCCCAAGTACGGTCAGAGATGTTCAGAGTCTAGGCCGGGGCATGCAGGGGGCCATCTCATCCAGCCTCGCATGTCCTAGAGTCCTAGAGCTGTACTTGCAGCGTTTGGCGGCGTGTCCGGCTTGTAGAAAAAATGATCCTGACCAGCTATGCCAGCGTCTGTTCTTGGCAGCTCACAGTCACACTTGTGCCCCCACTGGTTCTATGGTGGAGCCTTGGACTATCTTACCGGGCAAGGCACCACATAAGAAAGACGTAAACGACACTGGCACGGATATCGGCTGATATTTACAATTATGTGATCAGGGGCGAGGCATGAAGATTCGCGACGATGCGACGGCGTGGACGAAGGGCTTGAGGATTAATTTTTGAGGTTTTCAAGGAGTTCAAGCTTCGAAAAGGACTGGCTGAAAGCATCCCCGGCCACACCCTGCAGGTCTGACTGGTGTCATTGAGGTCTGACTGGTGTCAACTCCGAATCTTGATGTTGGCGCAATTGGGCGCACAGGCTCCACGAGACGGGTGGTGCATCGAGTCCGAGCCTTCCAGGTGCCTTTCTAAGTTCGAGTCCCGCTAACTGATGTATAATACCTTCTGGGCAGGTGTCGGATTGACACTTGGGCTTCGCCGCCTTGTTTAGACAGCTGTTTCTCAAAATGTACCTTTGAGTAAGTGTTCTGAGACTTCGGGGCTTCCGTGATGCGACAAAGGGTCGACCCTAGTGGCCGGAATCAACACGACCTTGCATCTCTTTGCTGCGCTGCTGGGGCTGAGTGGCCGCGAGAGCCACGAAAGACTCCGTGAGTGAAGCCTGTAATATCAGAATGGGATTGCGGACAGGCCCCGCCGAGGAATTTTTGCCTTCTCGGCAAAAGCCGGGAAATGCGGAAAGCACATGAAATCAAGTCCTAGCCGACTTGCTCTGCACAGCCGCACAACCCCTTTCTGATGCCGCATGCAAAGGGATTCATGAAGAAGAGCGAGAAGATCGACAAATATCGAGGAACCTCGAGGGGGAACGGGCATGCGGTCGAGCGCCAGAAGGAGAACCTACAAAACTCCGAGCGATAGAATCAAAAGCTGCCTATGCCATCAGGGAAAGGGGGCGGGAGCCTCGAACCTCACCTGGCCCATCCGGGCTCTCAGCACCAGTCCCTCCTTGTGTGTCTATCTCCTCTGTCTGCGCCGCCTGTGCCAGGCCAGGGCTTGTGTGCCAGTGCGTAAAGCCAGCCGACAAAAGATGGTCGAATCCCTAAAGCTTGATGTGCGGGAGCTTGGTCAGCGAATTCACCTGCTAGTGAGGTCGGCCACAACGATTCATCCCGCAAGGGGCATGCCGCAAGCTCAGCCTTTTGCTTGGCACACCTTGAATCTCGGACCACTACAGCCTTACATAGTGTTCCTGATGCACTGCCTATAGGCATCGAATGGATCTGCTTGACACTTAGCTCGTGCTTTTCCTTCTGGCACCTCCTGCTGTGCGCACAGAGCGCGGAGCAGGTGCTGAGCGCATGTGGCATTCCTAGGTTTCAGTTCCCAGTAGTCGATCACCATCCCGCTTCGGTGCCCACCCGGTGGTGGAGGGAGCCGAGGCGAGTGGCCAGAGGGCGGATTCTCCGTGTCTTCGGTGGAGCTGGCAGGGGCTGAAAGCAGCAAGGAACCAGATGATTCCACTCATCGACGAGCGCGAGGTCGGATGTCGGTTTTCCTCCAGGCATGGGTCGACCTTGGCATTCTGCAGGAGGACGCGGAGGAGATGATGCTGAGGGACCTCAAAGAGAGAGAGGCCTGCAGAACGCTTCTTTCATGGGCCTGACAAGCATGACAGCTGCAGGCTCCAGTGTTCAGACGATGGTGTTTCAGTTTGTCTCTGTCTGTGCGTGTGTGTGTATGTGTGTGTGTGTGTCTGTGTGTGTGTGTGTGTCTGTGTCTGTGTGTCTGTGTGTCTGTGTGTGTGTGTGTCTGTGTGTCTGTGTATATGTGTGTGTGTGTGTCTCTGTGTGTGTGTGTGTGTCTCTGTCTCTGTGTCGGTGTCCGTGTGTCTGTG